TAATAATAATAATAATAACAATAATAATAATTGTAAATAGTCTCTTATAATAGTCTTATGGATTTTCTTTTTCTGTTTTGATCTTTTCTTGCCATCCACATGGATCTCTTGTTGTCTTTCATTTTGAAAAATGGGGAAATAAAAAAGTGTAAACAGTCTTCCATAATAGAATTATGGGTATTCTTTTTCTGTTTTGATCTTTTCTTGCCTTCCTCTTGGGGACATAAGAAGTTGGTTGGCTTTAAATGATTTTTCAGTAGGATTTGTTGTTCATAATTTTGTTTAAAATTTGATTTAGGGCAAAAAAATTAAAGAAAAGAAAAACTTACGGTCTGTCTGGTGAATTCTTTAACGTTTAAAGAGTTACAGTTGTTTGGGGGGGAAAAAGGTTACAGTCAGGCAGTAGGTGCCATCAAAATATTGCTATTTAAAATAAAAAAAAAGTAAAAACAATGTTTGGCAAAAATATTTAAAGTCCGCTTTTAGAAGCAAAGTTGATTGACACTTTTGTTATAATGGGTGTCAACATTTGTGGTTGTGTAAAATAACCGTTATATATTCCAGAAACCTTTTTCTATTAAAATAAATGGCAAAAAATAATTATACTAAAAGCACATGTACTATGGCATTTGCTGAGTGAAAGTGACTGAGAGTTGACAACTTGACATAATTATAACAATAATAAGCTTACAATAAAATTGAGAATTTTGTATAAAATTGTGAGTTCAAATTATTTATGGAAAAAAAAAAAGGCAATAAGCATATGACTTATAACTATACCAAATATGTAATTAAAAAGGAATTTAATCCCCAAAAAACAAAAAGAAAGAAAGAAAATGGATAAACGTGTAAAAATTTAAAAGAAATCATATTGTTAATAACTCGTGAATAATAAAATTGTTTATATTTTTATATTATTGATTATTTATAGATACATAAACTACAAATTGGATAATAAGTCACTAAATTTCATTGTAATTTTTTCAATTTGAATTTTACTAGAGAAATGAATTATAATAGCGTGTTAGAAGATTAATCTAACACTATCAACAAGTTAATTAATTTATTAATATCTAATTTATATCAAATCATAAAGATTTGCTAGAATTCAATTAATTTATGGAGATGATGCTTAATATAAGACATCTTGCAGAAGGATTCTATAGTTCTATAACCCACTTTGCAAAGAGTCAATAGCATCAAATTGTTGTTTAAAACCAAAAACCTTATTGTATTGTAGAGAGAGATTATATATGAAAAAATTTAAAGATGATTGTTGGCAAAAACAATTAAAGATTACTAGGATAGATGGAAAAATCTCGTAAAAAGAAGTTTGAAATTACTAAATCTTAAATAAAAAATTCTAACAAAATATGTTGTTATTTGAAAATCTAGTATTATCAAAGCCTATAAAAGTATTGTTACGATGTCATAAAATTTAATTTAAAATTTAGTAATTTTAAGTTTTCTTTTTTTAGGATCCTCCCAAGATAAATTGGCTTTAATTGGAGGGTATTCTTAAAATGTAGTCATAATTTTTACTATTTTAATGATATAAACCATTTTTAATTGCTTCTTTTAATCTTATGAAGTAATTAGAACTTAAAATTGTCTTATACTATCTTATTCATATTCATAAATCACTTTTAACACATTTCATCAAAATTTTAAAAAAAAATTTAAATCTTATTAGTTACACTTTAAAATTTAATGATTTTTCAATATTACTTCTATTTAATATAAATATTTTTTTAAAAAAATAATCTACATAATAACAAATGAAAAGTAAAATGGTGCATTTAGACTAAAAATTGAATGATATATAAGAAAAAATTCTAATAAAAATGTATTATTATTTGTCAATCTAGTGTTATCAAAACATATAAAAGTGCTAGTATGGTGTTACCAAATTTGATATGAAATTTAGTATTTTCTTTTTTTTACGAGTCTCCCAAGACAGATTGATTTTAATCGGAGGGTATTCTTAAAATGTAGTCATAATTTTTACATTTTAATGATATAAACCATTTTTAATTGCTTTTCTTAATCTTATGAAATAACTAGAATTTAGAATTGTCTTAAACTCCTTTGGTCCTATTTATAGGACAGAGAGAGAAGACATTTTTTGGTCCTATTTATAAGGCACTGAGAGAAATTTTTTATATGAATGTACAATTTTACCCCTCATTTATTATTGAGTTGACTTTGTTTGTATCAAGTATAATGTATATTAAATAGGGATAAAGTTGAAAAGTTATTAAATTTTAAATGATAGTTAATAAAGTTTAAAGTTTTTCTTAGTCACACATACTGGAACTGTCTTATAAATAGAACCAGAAGAGTACTATCTTATTCCTATTTAAAAATCACTTCTAACATGTTTCATCAAACATTAAAAAAAAAGCTTTAAATCTTATTAGTTACACTTTCAAATTTGGCGACTTTTCAATATTACTTCTATTTAATATAAACATTATTTTTAAAAAATAATCTACATAATAATAAATAAAAAGTACAATGGCACATTTAGACTAAAAATGGAATGATACTCCTCTGGTCCTATTTATAAGGTGCTTTTAGTATATTTCACACAAATCAAGAAAAAATTTAAAATGTATTAACTCTCCATTAAAATATAATAATTTTTTAAATTACCCTTATTTAATATATGCACCTCTCAAAAAAGATAATTACATGCGTTATAATAAATAAAGGATAAAATAGTATATTCACACTGAAAATTTAATTAAACGACTTATAAATATGATAAAAAAACTCTCTCTCTACCCTTTAAATAGGACTAGAGGAGTATATATTATAAGTAGGATAAAAAAAACCTCCTACCTTTACCTTTTATATATATATATGTATGTATGTATGTATGAGAGGAAAGTAACTTTTTTTTGCTGGAGGGAGGAAAGTAATTTTAGAGGGTGTTTAAATAAAAACCAAACTATAATTTTAAAAGTGTTTTTAGGGTATATGAAATAAATATATAAAAAAATCTGTCTCGTTTTATGAAAAAATATTTTTGAAAAATATTTTTTCATCTTACCAAACTTTTCCATCTTTGCCAAACATTTTTTTAAACTAGGACGTTTTACTTTTGAGGTGAAAACTGAAAAGAGTGCGCAAATACGGGGAGAGAGTGGGCAGGAAAATATTGACGAGGACCCCAAAATACATGAATAACTTAATTGATGTGATTTAGTGTTGAAGGTTGCATTTGGCCTTGAAATCAGCAGATGATTGAAGAAGGGTAATTAAAAGTGATGTCATTTCATGATAGCTTAGTTTGATTTTGGTTTTTGGTGCATTGTATTCTCATTTCAAATATTTTCAATGATTATGACTCTTAAAAGCTATAATCAATTTGGGGAATGTAACCAATACACTTTATCTCACAAAATGTGCCCATCAAGCCACTCGTGCTTTTATTTTATTTTAATATACCTGCGCATCAGGACAAATTAGTATTTAATATTCCTATTTATTCAATAAATACTAAGGAGAATAACAAAAAAAAACTGAAAATTACTAAATCTTAAATTATGTTTGGTAACACTAAATTTGTAATTTACATATGATAGCAAATTTTTATTAACATTCTTTATTTAGCATCTGCAAATTTCTAACTTCTTTTTTTGTCATTTTTCCTAAGTATTATTCCTCTGATCTTTAATATAAGATCTATTTAACTATTTTGATTAAATTAAAAAATTAGTTAAGTTAGGTAATAATCATAAATATAACATATGTTTTCCAAAATACCCTTAGTTAAAACTTCTTTAAAAAAATGACATTTGAAAAAATGTTATTTTATTAAAAATATAAAAAGGTTGAATTGATGTTTGTGTGGAATTAATGAGTAATAAATACTCACTCACTTTATAAACTATATAGGTGTATTATTAATGAGTAATAAGTATTATTGTGGTATTTAATTATTTAATACAGGTAATTTAGGAAAGAATTGGTAAATATGATAAATAAGTCCTATATTTAGGACCAAAATCAACCTTCTAATTAGATTTTATATTAAGGATCGAAGGAGTATCTTGCAATCAAACTTTAAATGAAGATCATCTTAAAAAATTGTAATTAATACCCCATTTAGTAATTTATAATAAGGATCACTAATTCATTCTATAAAATGCCTTATAATAATAAGGATATCAAAAGTAACTAGGTTAAACAGATGAAACACAGTCGATGAGTGAAAAAAACATGTTGTTCATTAATATCTGGAAATTTTCCTTGCATGGTCTGAGGCAGTACTTGTGATATTTTGGCCATTTTATTTGGCATAAAAAAAAAAAAAGAAGTTCAGATGTTATAGATGAAAAGAATTGCTTTAAAAAGGTTATTTGTAGGTAAACTTAACCAGGCTTGAATCACTAGAGGACTACCACGTCTGAATCTTTTCTGGGCAAGGAAAGTTATTTGTAGGTAAACCTAACCAGGCTTGAATCCTATTTTTTGTTACTTAGAATCATGGGAACACGTCGGACAACATACATATATATACACACATACACACACAGTAATTCCATAATTTATACACAACTCAAAATTAGTCTTCTTAGTCAAGATTTATTAATAATATAATTTCTTATAATTTTATAACTGCACTGACATTTCATGCAAATGAAGCTACTTTAGTTTAATGCACAGAATAGAATGTTGGGACCTAAAGCAGAAAGAATCTGTACAGTAATGTGTAAAAGCCTGCCACTACACATAACTTATCATTCTCATCTCTTTTAATAACAATATTTAAAAAAAAAAAAAAATTAGGCTACGTACAACCTCCTTTAGCCTTTAAAAAACCATAAAAGGTTGGTGTTTAAAAACATGGGGAAGAAAGAGAAAGAAATATCAGAGAGAACAAATCAAAATGGAAACATAAGAAGCAGAATCTTTGTTAAAGTAGTCAAACTTTTGCACCCAGGAAACACAATCCAACATATCCTATTTAAAAGAGCTTCATGAATGTTCATTTGCCTTCCTGCCATTTTTACCCAACTGAGTCAGTCCATCAAGGAATAATTAATTACCAAGAGAGGAAAAAATAAAGAAATAAAAAAAAGACATTTTAGTTTTCATTCTGCACATCTTTTTTCACCATGACTTGTCTCTCCAAGACACTTCTTTTTCTTTTCCTTTATTTTCTTCTCTCTTTGCCTCACTTTATTACCAGGATACCAGCCAGCCCATTTCACAATAAAAACAGCATATTCTCAATCATCCACTCCACCGTACAGGAAACACCCATGATTGCACCCAGTAGCATCTTGATTTCACCATGGAAAACCTCTGCTATTAAGCTACCAAATTCTTTGATTCTTTAGCCTTCCAGTTTTATATATATACGCCATCAATCTTCTTCACTTTTCTTCCCTGTTAAACCCTCTTTTTTTTCCAACTCTTATTGTCCTACTCTCCATAATACTGATGGGTTCTTCATATACCGCATCATCTGTCAATGGTTTCTACAACTTCCTTACACAAGGACTAGATGAGCTTCACCAATCCTTCGTGTCCCATAACTTCATGTCAGTTCAATTCCTTTCAGAGGTGCTCTCATCTATCCAATCTTTCCATTCACAGTTAACAATTTTGGTCCAAAAGCTTCGCTTACCAGTTGGAGGAAAATGGTTGGATGAGTACATGGATGAAAGCTCAAGGCTATGGGATGCTTGTCATGTCCTGAAATCCGCCATTTCTGGAATGGAAAATTGCTGTTCAGCTGCCTCCACTGTTGCTTCCTCACTGGATACCTATCATCATCTCACTCCAGAGATTTCACGTCAGGTTAGTGGAATACACTAATCCATCGCAAAAATCATACACCTCAAGAACACCATAAATGATTGGTTTTGAAAAATGATTCTGGTCTATTCTTTTTGTCCAAATCTTTTCTTTTTTATCTTTACTTGCATCAAGTCAAAGAAACTTAAGAAAATACATCACTTTCTTGAAGATATACTTACCAGTGGTTTCACCCTACTAGTGAGTTAGAAAGTTTAAAGGCACAATTCATACGGAGAAATAAATCATGGACCACGTATTCTTCTCAAGAACCAAACAGTCCAAACTATATATCTACTAAAGAAATTTTTCTTAACATGCACAAGGTCAGAGAAACTTAAGAAGGTTCCTCATTAGGTTAAAGATCCACTAATTAAACATGTTTTACTGCACATTATGCAGAGTTTGAAGAATAAATTCACGGCTTGTAAATAGCGTAGTTTTAGATAAACTTTACATTATATATATATTGATGTTTCACACCGACTAATTAATTAATTTTAAAAGCACAATTCATAGAGTGAAGTAAATCATGGATCAGCTAATCTTTTCAAGAACAAAACTATATACTTATAGTTTAATGAGGGGATTTTCTCATGGGTATTTTCACAAACAGATTATCCGCGCAATAAATATATACCAGAGAGAAATTCTAGCACTGGAAGAGGAGAACAAGGGCTTGATGGAAACAAGAACTCAGCCACTGTCTCTGTGCCTGAACCAGAACATCCCAATGGAATCAAAATTAAACGCGTTCAGTGGGTTTCGAGGCGTTCTTCACGCAATGAGGAGCGTGAGTTCATTGCTTCTGCTGATTCTTCTTTCTGGGTTCGCTTACGGCTGGTCTGCCTCCTGCTTTCAACAACGCGACATGGAAGAACAAGCAGGTTTCGGAAGAGGGTTGACGGATTCCATGGCGAGATTGGAGCGAAAAGTGAGAGAAGAGATAGAACAGAGTGAAGCACAAAGCGGGATTTTGCTGTTCGAGTTTCAGCAAGCGAAGATAGCCATGGAGGAACTGAAGGAGGGGTTGGAGAGAAGAAGAGAGGGATATGAGGGAATTGAGATTGAAGAGAAAGCTGAGAAGTTGAAGAGTTGGATTGGGATGTTGAGATGTGGGGTTGAATCCATTGCAGGACAGATTGATGATTTGGTTGATGAAATAGTGCAAGGAAGGAAGAAGCTTTTGGACATGTCCAGTTATAGGTAGACGCTGAGACGAAGATGGCCATAATAATAAAAATTTATTACAAGTCCATGGAGTTTCACTTGCTTTTAATTAAATTTTGTAATTCTTTTATCATATTCCTATATTTCACTTGTTTTTTATTATTTTTTTGTAATTTTTTTATTTCTATGAGATTTTTGTAGTTTCACTGGTTTTTAATCACAACCCTCTACTTTCAGGCCATTGATTTAAAGAAAAAATTACAGGAATCTAACTAAAAATTAGGTGAAATTATAAAGATTTTCAGATTATTTTTTTCATAATAAATAATTGATAATTATTTTTAAATTTATATCTCATCTATTTGTTCTAATTTTCTCCCTTTTCTGCTTTTGGCAAAAAAAGAAAAAAAGAAAGTTACCCTTTCGGTTTTAAATTTACAAAATACTCGTACACCTTTTACATTTCATTATTGTGTTCTTTTATATATATATACACATACACACAAAAGGCACAAACTTACTGTTAGCTCCTTACATTTAAAATGATCTGGAGCTCTGTTATAAATATACTACCTTCCCTTCTAAATATAAAATCTAATTTGTTAAATAATTTACAGTATAAACTAAATCTTATATTTAGAACTGAAACTAGTATTATTTATTGCAGTCTATTTATTACTAATTAGTGTTCATTGTTGCATTAGTGCATGAAAATTTGAATATTATGCAATACAAGGCCGACTTTTCTTGTTAAAACAATTCTTATTTATTAACATGTTGTTAAGATTAGACTAAATATTGATAATAATTCAACTCCTATCATAAAATGCATTACTTTGCTCAGAAACTGAATTGAAGTTATAACAATTTAAGTAAAGTAAATTTAATTTCAGCATCGAATGTGTATTTGATTTTTATATAAAAATTCAATAAATTAAAGAACAATTGTGAAATGAAAGAGAATGAGATTCTTGCTTGGAAGAAAAGATACATTACTTCTTAAGAAAGAAAATTTCTTTCCTATCCAAATCGAACTTTTATATTCCTTTAAATAATATATAAATATTAACAATTTCAAAAAGAAGATAATAGTATCTAATAAGAATAAAACCTATTCTTAAGAACAAAGTGCAGTTCCACGCTTGATGTCAGTTAAAAATAAAACACAAGTTTCATAATCTTATTGTGAAAAAAAAAATGTTAGGACAAAATCGAATTAAAAGTGTTAAACTTCAAAACAATCATAATTTATTATTGAACTTTAATTTCTTTTGAAGCTCAATACTCAACTCAATTTAGTCATGATCGGATTGACTAGGTCTCGTTTTTGTTTTCATTTATTTTATATTTTTCTTAGTTTTAAGAAAATAAATAAAGAGGTGTGCATTTATTATAAGATGCAACTTTTTTAACTAGAGAGGACAATATCGGTCAAGATTAAGACAAGTAAGAAATTTTTTTTGGAACCATAATTGGGTAATCTATCTTTAAATAGCTATTTGAGTAAATATATCTTTGAATTAATGCATGTTGGAACAAAAATTGGATTAATGAATAAAAATGTGTCCTTTACCTTTGGGACTTTATTAAGTGATTTATGTTAAGAGACATCTTTTTATTTGCAATCTTAATTGCTTATTTTTAAAAAAAATGACAAACGCAACATTATAGTGTGCTTGAGGAGATAATTCGTAATCATGGTGTGCGGGATGTTAATATTCTGAATCAATGTTTTAAAAGTCAGACTAGATAATATTGAGGGCGCATTTGGAATGGCTTATAATTAAATTTTTAATCGTGATTTACAAAATGCAAGATAAATATATGAGAGAAATTTTATCTCACTTTACGTGAAATATGCTTATAAGTAATTTCAAATATGACTTCAAATGGGCCTTGAATTAGAAAGATCAGCCGAAACCACTAGTCTAACAAATAATATAATAGTTAAATACAAATTTATAAAACAAAATAATTATATGAATATATAAAAGAAATAAATCGACGATAAATTTAATTGTCATAATAACACTACAATATATGAAGTTTTCTGTTAAATGACACCATACAGCTACAAATGGTATGAAAATATATAGAGAAAATGGGAAATAAAAACCCTCCAATATATGAAATTGTGATTTGACACCCTCAATTTAAAAAATAAAAAATAAAGACTCAGTCCCATATTACAAATATGAAATCTTGATGAAATGTCTGAAATACCCTTTAGCCAAGTTGTGATTTGATTTACTGAAATTGTCATTCGCTAAAGTGAACGTGTCATTTTTCATAGTCAACTTGTCATTTGACATACTCTCAGCCAAGTTGTAATTTAGTCTACTGAAATTGTCATTCGCTAAAGTGAACCTGTCATTTCCCGTAGTCAACTTGTCACTTGATCGAGAGGTATTTTAGACATTTCACCAAGATTTCATATTTGTAATATGAGACAAGGTCTTTATTTGCTATTTTTCAAATTGAGGGTCCCAAATCACAATTTCACATATTGGGAGTCTTTATTTGCCATTTTTCCAAATATATATAATTTTTTGAGAGGGTCAATATTTTTATTTTATAAAAAAATAATTATATGAATATATAAAAGAAATAAATCCACAATAAATTTAACTGTCATAATAACGCTACAATATATGAAGTTTTCTGTTAAATAACACCATACAGCTACAAATGGTATGAAAATATATATATAATTTTTTTGAGAGGGTCATTTTTTTCTATTTTGTTATAGGTTTTTAAATATTTTTAAGCATTTTTCTATAAGATCAAAAAACTGTCATGTTTCCTAAAAATTGTTTTGGTTCTTGGTCTAACGTTGAATTTCGATTTAATGGTGGCTCAACTCCGATTCAATCAGAAAACTGTACTCCAAACACATACTTAAAACTCAGGTCAAAAAGGAAAAACAAAAACACATACTTAAAACATACTACCTCTGGTTCTAATTATAAGAGTCAGTTGACTAATTTGAGGAGATTAAGGAAGTAAGTTGAGCTAGTTATTTGTCCTAAATAGGTGTTGTCTTTCCTAAAATATCCTTACTAATCAAGTGTATTGATTATAACTATAATTATTAGAAGGACTATCTTGGAAAAAATTGAGTAAATATGAGAGATAAAGTGGATTGGGGTCTTATATTTAAAATCAAAATAAAAGTCAAACAGGGCCTTATATTAAGGACGGGAGGTAGTAGTTTAGGTGTTCAATTAATGTTCATACATATTTCATTTCTCCTGCTATGTTAGGTGTATGTGTGTATTTAAACTTCGGGTTGTGGCATATTTTTATTTACCCTCTAAACTTTTAATTATTCAAAATAATTATAAGTATATTTGTTTTAAAAAAAAGAATTTGATGCTCCTGACTTTTAATTATGTCCAGCAGTATGGGAACATTTTAGAAAATGATTTATATTAAGCTTGAATATGGTATATTAAACTAACACATAAATGACAAAAAAGAAAGTGAAGAATAACAAGGAGTAAAGATAAGAAATGCTTTCCTACAATAAAGTCAAAGCATAATCCCCATAATATGGATTGCAAGATTCGCTTGTAAATAACACACTTGTCTTTTAGCCACTAAAGTTACAATCAGCGGCTCCATTAAAGGCCATGTTTGGTTAGACAAAATATTATATAATCGCATTAAAATAATGGCATGGGAAAAAGAATTCTAATATTTAAAACATTAAGATAAACTATCTACACTTTTTTTTATTTATGTAAATGAACTCATCTGTGATTAATTTGTTTTCTATTTCACAAAAAGAGTACAGTATGGTAGGAAACTTATCTACCCGACTTCAAAGTTTACAAGGCTAGCTTATGTATAATTCAAAACTGAAGGGACTAGATGTACTCAGACATATGGTTAACAACATCTTATACTTGGTTAGCAAAATAATAGAATACTACCTCCAGTCCTAATTATAAGAGCTAGTTGACTAATTTGAGAAGATTAACGAAAGGAGTTGAGTTAGTTATTTGTCATAAATAAGTATTGCCTTTCTTAAAATATCCTTACTAATCAAGTGTATTGGCTAGAATTACCATTATTAGAAGGATTATCTTGAAAAAAATGCATAAATATTATAAACAAAGTGAATTGGGGTCTTATATTTAGAACCAAAATAAAAGTCAAACGAGGTCCTATATTAAAGATCGGAGATAGTAATTTATAGCAAGGGAATTATTATAAGCACAAACTTAAAAGTTTTGTTAAGTCTTACTTGTTGCTTGAACTAATTTTTTCTTTAATTTAGAAATGTGAATGATGTTAGGATTAAGGTTTTGATGATAACAACGTAAATAATTTGTGTTTCAATATGTTGATCAATCAAGGTTTTATCGATAAGCTGTTGGATAATATCTCTATACAATTAAGTAACTCAGCAGAAACTTTGATCGATAATGTGTTAGATAATGTGTTGATCGATCAATTGATCGATCATTCTTAACTTAGTCGTGTATGAAAGCCTGGAGTAGATTATCGATCACTTGATTGATAATCAAGATGATTGAATATCAGGATACAAATTTGATAAGAATTTATCGATCACATGATCGATAAACAGATTATCGATGAGAAGACATATAAATGGTAATACGCTTTACTCATTCTATGTTTTGCTTTTGTCGCCATTTATCGATCACATTATCGATCAGCCATTTATCGATAATATGATCGAACACTGCCTCATAACCTTGTGTGCAGGTATTTACTTCAGTGGCTTATCGATCACTTGATCGATCATAAAATTATCGATCACATGATCGATAATCAGCATATCTTTGTTAGATCGTGGCTCTTCGATCACCGGATCGATAATCAGATTATCGATAATATTATCGATAATCACACTTCCTGTTTACCTTGTTTTCACATAACATGATCGATAAATCAGCTCTTTGGTTTTACAAGAATAAATCTCTTTATCGATAACATTATCGATCAACCTTTTATCGATCACCGATTCGATCAACTTACATAGCCTGTGTTTTCACTAAATATGCTTTTACTCATTGTTTATCGATAAGGTTATCCATAATCTATTTATCGATAAAGTGTTCGAAA